ATGCTTAAGAGAAGAAATTGTAACTCAGTTCGATGGGAAGATGAAAAACAAAAGAAAGCCATTATGTGCTATATGTAAATGATTGGTTGTCCAAAGCCACTCTGTGCTGAAAAGCCCTGGAAGGACCTTGATAAAGTTATAATCATTATGAGGCCTCTGTGTGGTTATTCAGTTCTGTGCCTTCTTCATTTAAGAATTTAAATTCAAGAGTGAAAGGTTGATAAAGGATGCATATTAACCACATTTGTTTGGACTGAAAGACAGTATTAGATTTTTCTGATAGAAAGTCAGTCTGGGGGCATCTGGGTAGTTCAGTCGGTTGAGCATCCGACTCTTGATTTCTACTGGGGTCGTGATCCCGGGGTCATGGGATCGGCCCGCATAGGGCTCCATGGCCAGTGGGAAGTCTGCTTAAGAATTTTTTCTCCCTCCCGCTCCTTCTGCCCCTCCCCTTACTCTCTCTCTTTCTGTCTCTCTCTCTCTCTAAAATAAATAAATCTTTAAAAAAAAAAGAAAGCCAATCTGATTTGGCTGACAGGTACAGAGGTCTAGCTTTGCACATAGGATATATGGTAGGCATTTTCCAAAAATGGAATGATTTAAATCTGCAGCTCCATGGTTTGAACAAAAATACATTTAGAGTACATATACAACTTCCCCTTTCAGACAAGATGGAGTAGCAGGGAACAGATTTGCCCTCCTTCCTGAAACAATCAACTAAACATAAAAACTATGAAACAACAGTTTTCAAGATGGTGGACATCAGACAAAAAAGGACAGTGATCCTTGAGAGACAAGAAACAAATGAGGTGAGCCCTATGATTGCCTCAGCTTATTGCTTGAGAGAGTTTCCAGGACATATTGCAGGGAGGGAGAACCGAGGCGGGGCCATGCAGGCTCCGTGAGCTGAGGAGATAGCTAGAGTTTGTGGCAATCCAAACTAAAGCGCTCAGAACAGATTGTTGGTGAGAAAAAAGGTACATAGAAAGAGAATTCTAGATATCTGTAGAGGCCCCCACCCCTCAGCCGAGCACTACTCATCATGTAAATGTGAGGAAATACTTGAGACTAAGGAAAGAATCATCCAAAGTGATTAGAGAGAACAGTAGCCAGTATTCATAGAGGACTGGAGTATGTCTGTTCCCATCAGCCAGACTGGAAAACCTCATAATTTATGTAGCATTGGTTGGAGTTCTCAGAAGGGTCTTGCCTTAGCAGTGGGGACACATTAGCCCCAGTTTGTTTGTTTTTTTTTAATTAGCCCTAGTTATTCATCCCATCTAATAAATTTTAAAAGCAAGACCTGAAGGGATCAAACTGTTTCTAAGTAATGTCACTGCATCTCAGAACAAACCTTAAGAATATTAACAGGAATACAAAAATAACCAGCACGCAAAAACACAAAATTTACAGTGTCTGAGGTCTAATAAAAATATTACCGTTCATGCAAATAAGCAGAAAAATATGAACCATAGTGAGGAGGAAAACAAATTGACACCAACCCAGAACTGACACTGATGTGAGAATTAGCAGACATTATTATAGCTGTATTCCATATGTTCATACAGCTAAGTAGAGACTTGGAAGATCTTTTTAAAAATACACAAATTGAACTTGCGGAGATGAAAACAAATGTCTGAGATGAAAAACCACTGGATGGAATTAACAATAGTTTAGACACTGCAGAAAAAAAGATTAGTGAACTTGAAGACATGGCAATAGAAATTGTCCAAAATGAAACACCAAAAGAAAAGAATTTTAGAAATGAATAAAGAGATACACAACATATAATAGGTAGAAAGTTGACCCTTTACAAATATTTAAAATTATGAAGAAAGGTAGGCATCAAGTAAAAACGGATGAGAGGGCACATTGCTTTTGTTTTTGTTCAATTATCGGTAGAGGTATGTGAACAAAAAAAGAGCAGATTTTGCAAATGCTACTCCAGATTCCATCTTCCTTCCCCGTCGGTGTATGACTTTGCTCCTCTGATCACCCCCTCTCCCCCTGAAGTATCCTTTCCTTCCCCTCAGCTGGCTCATTCCCCTGAGCACATGTATCCACTAGTGGCTGCCATCTTTGAGAAAACCCTGCCTTGACCCCCACAACCCACCTCCACAGTTACTGCCCAGTTGCTCTACTCCATCCACAAAGTTCCTAATGTCTGAATCTGCCATCACTGCTTCCTCATCTCTCATGTACTCTTTAACCCACTCCAGTGTGGCTTCCACTCAGACCTACCTCTCCCCCACAATTCCCTTTTGCTATATTTGCCAATGACTTCTTTACCAGTTATTTTCAATAGTTTACCACTCCCTCCTTCTGCAGTTTACCACTTCCTCCTCCTCGGCTTCTAAAGCACTGCCCTTTGTTGTCTTCTCACTTCTCCGGCACCTCTTTATCAGGTTTCTTGGCTGGCACCCTATCGCTGCAACTTCTAAAAGCTGCTATCCCTACCCATGCTCTCTGTACACTCTGTACACTTCTTCCCTTGGTGATCTCATCCAGTATAGCAGCTTTTTTTTTTTTTTTTTTAAATACATCCATACACCCATGACTCTCAAGAGTAGATCTCCAACCCAGACTCTCCTCTGGGCTCAAAGCCTGTATTTCAAACTGTCTACTTGACCACTCCACTTGAATGTCTGAGAGGCATTTCAAGTTTACCGTGTTCCACACTAAGCTCTGAATCTCCCAGCAACATAAAATAGTGACTCTATCCACACAGTTATTCAAGCCTGGGAATTCTCCTTAAGAGTTCCTTCTTGGGGCGCCTGGGTGGCTCAGCATTCAACTCTGGGTTTCAGCTGGGGTCATGATCTCAGGGGTTGTGGGACCGAGCCCCACTTTAGCTTTGGGCTCCACGCTCAGTGGGGAGCCTCCTTGGAGATTCTCTCCCTCTGCCCCTCCCCTCATTTGTGCTGTCTCTAAAATAAATAATCTTTTAGGGGCGCCTAGGTGGCTCAGTCCGTTAAGCATCTGCCTTCAACTCAGGTCATGATCCCAGGGTCCTGGGATCGAGCCCTACATTGGGCTCTCTGCTCAGCAGGGAGCCTGCTTCTCCCTCTGCCTCTTCCCACCCTTGCCCTGCCACTCACCCTGCTTGTCCTCGATTGTGCTCTCTCTCTCTCTCTGTCAAGTAAATAAATTTTTTTTTAAATCTTAAAATAATCTTTTAAAAAAAATTTACCTTCTCCCTTTGCCCTCCTCCCACATCCAGTCCAACCCTGAGTCCTGAGATTCTATATCCAAAAGCTGTCTTAAATGTCTCTGCTTCTCTTCCATCCTTGTGGTGTCTAAATGGGGTGTGTGTCCAATCCCCAAAATGTGGGACAATGATCAGGTGGAAGCCGGTGGCATGGGTGGTGAAAGAGATAGAAGTTTATTGAATACACAAGGGAGCCGCGGGCAGGACAACAAAGGAGAGGCTGTCTGCCACGAGACAGCGGGTGGGGCTGTTTTTAAAGAGGGAAGGTGAAGGGGTATGGCAACATATGGAATCTTCCCTTTTCCGGTAACTGTGCCTAGTTGTAGTAGCCCATTGGTCAGTTAGGACCTATGGAGATTTTGACGTGGGTCACCTGTTGGGTCCATCTGTATTCAGCCAGGTGGTTGCTGTAGGCTCTTTCTGTATTCTATCACTCTAGCCTGTTTGCTTAAAAGCGGCCTCTACACTCTCAGTACTACCAGCACCCTCATGGCCAAGCCACCATCATCTCTCATATGAATCATTACAGTAGCCTCCCAACTACCACCCTAGTTTTGCCCTTACCCCCCTTCAATCCTTCATGAAGTAGTCAGAATGAGTTTCTTAAAATATAAATTGTATAACACTCTCCTGCTCTAGTATTTCAATGACTTCCCATTACTCTTAAGATAAAATCGAATCTCTTTACCTCTGGTCTGCAAAGCTTGCCATTTGACTTATTTCTCCAGCTTTATCTGTATCGCTTTCCTCCCATCTCTCTTCCCATCTTTCATTCCCGGCTAGTCATACCAGCTTTGGGACTTTGCATTTTTCCTCTCTCCCCCATTGTTCAACTGAATAACTCCCACTCACCTTTTTTTTTCTTTTTTTAAGGGTTTTATTTATTTGAGAGAGAGCGAGAGAGGGCACAAGCAGGGGGGAGGGGCAGAGGGAGATGGAAGCAGACTCCCCACTGAGCAGGGAGTCCCACGTGGGGCTCCATCCCAGGACCCTGGGATCATGACCTTAGCCGAAGGCAGACACTTAACTGACTGAACCACGCAGGCTCCCCGAACTCCCATTCATCTTTCATTAATCAAACATCACCTTAGATGTCTTCCCTCACTATCCAATTTCAACTGTTTCCCCAATTTTCTCTTCTCATAGCACATTGTGCTTTTCCTTCATAGTTTTACTACAGTTGGTAAATGTATATTTATTTGAGTTTTTTCCCCACTTAACTGAGATGTAACTAATAAGTTTGTGTGATTTTTTTGTTTCCATTTTCTAGATTGTAAACTCCAGGAGGGCAGAGCCAAAGTCAGTTCAGACTTTGTTTGTTGCTCCGCCCCCATCCGTCCTCTTAGAAGAATGGTCTGGCACACAGCAGGTGCTCAATAAATACTCATTAAGTAAAATGAATGAGTGCCTTAAGTGCTTGAGAACCCTGGCCTGTTCTCTAGGAATAACTCTAAATCTCTGCTTAAAATCTGGATAAGTGTTGGGGCACCTGGCTGGTTCAGTTGGTAGAGGGTGGGACTCTTGATCTCTCCGTTGTGAGTCCAAGCCCCTCGTTTGTCATAGGTGAGGCCGTATTTCCGCCCACAGACCCTTTTTTAAACCTCACCTGCTACTCTCCACCCTGCCCATCCAAATACTCTTATGCTCTTGCCAATCAGGCATCATGCAAAATCCCTAACAATCGCGGACCAAATAAAGAAGATTGTGACAGACTCTAAGGATGACCGCGTTTGTGTCTCAAGCCCGGAATACGACGCTGGCGGCTCATAGCTCCTTTCAGGCAGGCAAAGTTCACCATTCCCCTCCCCCGCCCATACCTGGGGCCTCTGACACCCAAGGCCTAGAAGCTCAGGCACTCGGCTCAGCTCTGACCTGCCGTACAGCATGGCAGCCCCTAAGGGCGTGGCCCACGGCACTGCTAGCCGTACAACATGGCCGCCTACAGAGCGCGAACCGCTCCCCCTCACGCCCAATCACCGGAAGTTTCCGTTTGAAAGCCGGGCGGCAGACCCGGTAGCTGGTGCGGCAGTTGCCGAGGAGCCTCCTTTGAACCAGGGCAACGAGGGCTGCGGGCAGGAGCTGCAGGAGCCTGGGTTCGACTCTCCCGGGACGATGGACGGGGGTGGATGTCGGGGGCGGGCGGGATGGGCTGGGAATGGAGAATTTTCTTTTTCCAGACTTCTTCCCCGGGCCGGGACAGGCCAGGTCGCGCTCTCCGGGGGCCCTCCACCCACTCGGGCCCCCAGACCCGTCACGGTAACGTTCACCTTGCACCTTCCAGGGCCCAGCCGTGCCGCCTCGTTACGATGACCAGCGTGGTTAAGACGGTATACACTCTGCAACCCCCCGCTGTGCAGAGCGGCGGCCTGCCGGCAGGTAGGCATCCACACAGCCCTACGGACCCGACGAGGGTGGTCAGACCGAGGAGTAAGACGGCACAGATCAGTGGCCAGGAAAGGGGGGCGCGGCCAGGGGAAGGGCAATTCATCGGTTCTGACAACCTGCTACCTCCCCTAGAACTGGGCTGTCTAGGTTTATGATGGGAGTTGGGGCAAGGGCCCTGTGGTAGGATTTTAGACCTGCCCTCCCCCATTCCTCTTCCCAAACCTAATCGTGCTGCATTCACTAATTAGATTTAAGTTGCTTATTGTTTCACAATATTATTTCCTCAAGCTAGGAATCCCCCCTTTTTTTAGATTTTATTTATTTATTTGACAGGGAGAGAGAGAGAGAGCGCAAGCAGGGGGAGGTGCAGAGGGAGAGGGAGGAGCAGGCTCTCCATTGAGCAGGGAGCCGGATGTGGGACTGGATCCCAGGCCCCTGGGATCATGACCTGAGCTCAAGGCAGACACTTAACCGACTGAGCCACCCAGGCGCCCCAGGAATCCCTTTTTAAACAATTGCCAGTTTGATTTCCAGATCTGGGCTATCTGGAGGGACTGGGTTTGTCCTCAGGGAAAAGGGAGGAGTCATTTAAGCGTGATTCTTAGAGGGAGGCACTGGAGTTCACACTATGTCTAGTTCACAGTTGTTTCTGCACCGTTTCTCTTATATAGTAAGTTCTCAATAAATTGTTGGGTGAAGTGAGAGAGAGGGGCCAGGCCCAGCCAGAGTTTTCCATAACCTTTATTGCTTTGCCATCTTGCTTTGTGTTACTGGGCTTGTGGTTGAAAGTCATCTCCTACGCTCTGCAGTTGTCAAGTTGCCTCATCTCTAGAGCAGGGCACAAAATAAGCTTCAAAAATCAGAACCTGTGGTGGGAGATTTTGAAGTAGCTATTTAAGACTCCTTCCCCGGGGACTCTGTGCAGTTGGTTGATGAGCAGCAGCCGGATTGATCTGTGAAGTAAACAGGCTTTTCTCTAAAGGCTTAAGGGGTTTTTTGTTTGTCTTACCTGGCCTTAGAACACCGAAATGGTAATCTGGCATCAGGAGGACCTAGGAGTTGGGGCTGGGGGGGTGCACGCCCCTTGCACTGTCTTTGCCTTGGAGAGCAGTGCCCTCTCCTTGAGTGGAGAGTGACTGGCTCCCCCAGCCAAGTTGGAAATTTTTATCTCAGCTTTCTATCTCTGTCCCAGCTTTATGATCATATATAACCTCAATAGTTTAACATTTTAAGGCTATCTCTAGGTTTTTTGCCTACATAACATATACATGTAAAAAAGAATTCAAAGTTAGAAAACATTATGCAGTGAAGAACAAGTCTCTTTCCCTTCTTTGACCAGCCAACCAATTCCCCTCCTTGGCGAATCTCATTTTTTTTTTAAAGGTCCTATTTATTTATTTGGGGAGGGGGGGAAGAAGCAGACACCCTGCTGAGCAGAGAGCCTGTTGCGGGGCTCAACCCTGGGACCCTGGGATTATGACCTGAGCCGAAGGCAGATGCTTAACCGACGGAGCCACCCAGGTGCCCCGTGTCTCTCATTTCAAGAAGATAGCCTTTGTTAAGTCCTGCTAAATTTTTCCCACAGTGCAGTCCTTAGGCTCTAGCAAGTACAGATTAAGAACTGATTCCAGTCAATGAAGAGTGTTAATTTTTTATCAATTTATTATTAACACCTTTTCACCTGGGGGTGGATGTGTTACTGTGTATGACTTACTAATACTTGAAAGAGGAGGTAAATATTTTCCCCCAAGGTTACCTTTTACTTCAGACAGAGACCTAGGGCACCTGGCTGGCTCACTTGGTAAAGCATGTGACTCTTGAGCTCGGGGTTGTGAGTTCAAGCCCCACGTAGGGCATGGAGCCTACTTTAAAAAAATAAATAAAAATGAATAAAGAAATAGCAACAACTATGCAATGGTTGAAAGAGAACCTTGCAGCAGTTTGAGCATAGCCTTGGGAGAACGGGCAGAGGGCAGAGGAGCTTCACAAGGTGGTCAGCTTCCACTGGTCCTGGAGGAAGGCTCCAACTGTGGGCCACCCTGCGGACCACCACACTACCTGTCATTTTGCTCTTCGCTTGTATCAACATCCACTTTCACACCCGTACCCTCTGACTGTTCAGTTTGCCCTATCATCAGGCTTTTGGCGATCCTCAAATACATTGCACTGTCACCTTCAAAGGATTTTGGTTTCCATCCCCAGTTAGTCTAGAAGTCGGATTCTTCTGAATTAATCTTCGCAAATTGAGATGGGCCCAAATGAAAATACAGGGCTCTGGGGGCACCTGGGTGGTTCGGTTGTTAAGTGTCTGCCTTCGGCTCAGGTCATGATCCCAGGGTCCTGGGATCGAGCCCCGCATCGGGCTCCCTGCTCGGCGGGAAGCCTGCTCCTCCCCCTCCCACTCCCCCCCCCCCGCTTCTGTTCCTTCTCTCGCTGTCTCTCTCTCTCTGTCAAATAAATAAATATTAAAAAAAAAAATACAGGGCTCTGGAACTGGAAGATACAGGGCTCTGACAACCTGGAACAGAGCTGTTACAGAGTTGTAGCTGTTGGGTCACTATGCTTGAGGTTTCACCCGCTTGTCTTCCTTTGCAGACACACAAACTCGAGCCACTTCTAAGAGTCTATTACCCGTTAAGTCCAAAGAAGTGGATGTTTCCAGACTTCATTCAGGAGGTTCAGAGAATGATGTTACAAAAATCACCAAACCGAGACGAGAGAATGGGTGAGAGTCCAATCATTGGTATCCAATGAGAACATCTTTTTTTTTTTAATTTTTATTTTATTATGTTAATCACCATACATTACATCATTACTTTTTGATGTAGTGTTCCAGGATTCATTGTTTGCATATAACACCCAGTGCTCCATTCAATACGCTGATGAGAACTTTTTTTTTTTAGATTTTTTTTTTTTAATTTATTTATTTGACACAGAGAGAGAGAGATACAGTGAGGGAGGGAACACAAGCAGGAGGAGTGGGAGAGGGAGAAGCAGGCTTCCTGTCGAGCAGGGAGCCCGATGTGGGACTCGATCCCAGGACTCTGGGATCATGACCTGAGCCGAAGGCAGATGCTTAACAACTGAGCCACCCAGGCGCCCCGATGAGAACATCTTGCTGGAAATTGCTCAGAATCAAGATTCTGTGTTGAGCAGTTCTGAAGAGGCCCAGCAAGGGTTAGGATAAGAGGTACTTTGTTATCTCACCACTTGCTCTGAGTGTGCAAACAGCAGTACCGGGGCCAGACACCGCCCCAGGTGGTGGTCAGAGTGGGTGGGGCTGATTGTTAGCCTAGGTGCTGGTCTGAGCATAGTCCCGCCCAGGGTAGTGTGTGTTTCCCTCTGCTCAGTTCCCACGGAAGCCCGCTTGACATGAGGTAGCCACACCATTTTGAGCGGCCGCAGGCCTGTTGGAATGTTGAGGTGGGTCAGGAGAGGAGCCCATTCCCTATTCATAAGCCTTTTCCAATAGTCTAGGCTGAAACAAAAGCGCACGGGCCCTCAGAGCTTCTGAAGCTGTTCGCATTGTATGCAGTCTCTGGTTTTTTCCTCAGAAAACCAGGCTCTTTTTTTTTTTTTTTTTAATATACATATACAGTTTTAAAGGTTTTATTTATTTATTTGACAGAGAGAGACAGCGAGAGAGGGAACACAAGCAGGGAGAGTGGAAGAGGGAGAAGCGGGCCTCCCGCCGAGCAGGGAGCCGGATGCGGGGCTCGATCTCAGGACCCTGGGATCGTGACCTGAGCCCAAGGCAGATGCTTAATGACTGAGCCACCCAGGTGCCCCAGAAAACCAGGCTCTTTGTTCTGCCTTGTTCACAACACACAGAATAGCAATGGTACTGGTCTCTGATTTCTTTGTTGTTTGTTTTTTTAATTGAGGTCTATTAACACACAATATTATATTAGTTTCAGATGTACAACATAATGCTTAGATATTTGTATGTAGTGCAAAATGATCACAATAAGACGAGCGAACATCCTGATTTCTTTGTTTTTGCTTCCCTAGGCAGGTAAAAGCTGCAGACACTGCCATGAGGAGGAACATCAGAAAGAGGTAAGCATCAGGGTAAGCGAAAGTTGGCCGCCATTTTAAGGTGGTGGATCTCAGTCCTGGTTGTGCCTCAGAATCACTCGTGGGTTCGTTTAGTGTCTGACAGCCTGGGTGCCACCCCAGAAATCTGAGTGGAATTTCCGGAGTGAGGCACAGCCTGGTTGGAGAACCACTGGCAGGGCAAGGATCTGCGATGCTCCCATCTTGAGAAGCAGACAAGAGCTTTCTGGGCTCCATGCCAGGCCCCCTGCTGGTTGGAACTCAAACCCAGCTATAGCCCATCGACAGGAGGGTGAGCCTTCAGGATAGGAGGCACCGCGTGGGTTAGCGACTTCGAGACGGTGGTGGTAGACATCCCGGGGAAGGATCCATCTCTCTGTTTGAGGCTGGCTTAGATGTTTTGCTTCTGAAGACAGAAATAATACAAGCTGGAAAGTGTATACAAATAGGTTCTAATTCCAAGTCTATTATTTGGGCATGTCTTAAAAGTTCTGAAGATAGGGGCCCTGGCTGGCCCAGTCGATAGAGCATGCCACTCTTTTTTTTTTTTCCCCCTTAGATTTATTTATTTATTTTAAAGAGAGTGTGTGCAAGCTGGGGAGGGGTACAAGGAGAGGGAGAGAGACTCAAGCGGACTCCCCACTGAGTGTGGAACCCCAATGTGGGGCTGGATCTCATGACTCTGAGCGGAAATCAAGAGTTAGACACTTAACTGACTGAGCCACCCAGATGCCCCAAGCATGCAGCTCTTAATCTCGGGGCTGTAAGTTCGAAGACCCACTTTGGGTGTAGAGATGACTTAAAAAATAAAAATAAAAAAAAAAAAGTTCTGGGGCACCTGGGTGGCTCAGTTGTTAAGCATCTGCCTTCAGCTCAGGTCATGATCCCGGGGTCCTGGGATCGAGCCCCGCATCGGGCTCCCTGCTCCGTGGGAAGCTTGCTTCTCCCTCTCCCACTCCCCCTGCTTGTGTTCCCTCTCTCGCTGTGTCTCTCTCTGTCAAATACATAAATAAAATTAAAAAAAAAAAAAGTTCTGAAGATAAAATACTATTCACGAAGGACTCTGAGGGCACTGAAAAGAAGTGATGATAATGGCTATTATTTATTAAGTATTTACTATGTGTCACTAGCTGTGCCAAGAATTCTACATGTATTCTCTCCCTTTATTTTTCACAATAATTATATTATGAGATGTGGGTATTATCCTAATTGTAGAAATGAGGAAACAAAGCCCCAAAGAGGTTATGTAACTTACTGAGTGTCGTATACCACTATGTAATGACCCCCAGATTTGAACCCCTGCTCGTATGACTCTATAGCCCATTTTCTTAACACCTCCACATCTGCAGCTGAGCACAATTATCATTACAGCTGCAAACCGCTGGGTAAGCAGAAACCAGAGGAAGAGCTCAAGGATAAGAACCAGCTCTTAGAGGCCATCAACAAGCAGCTGCACCAGAAGTTGACTGAAACTCAGGTGGGAGACCCACCAGACCTCTGTCGTCACTGCACTAGGCAATGTGTGGACACCTAAGGGATGGCCCCTGGGTGGGGAGAAGCTTGTATGCCCGGGGGCCTGAGGGGAGGAAGAGAAGATGCCAGGCTTGTGCTTTTGGCACCGTCAGAGCAGGGGCGGGAGAGGACCCCCCCCCCCCCACACACACACAGGGAACAGGCCTGATCTGTCCGCATGGCACCTCCATAGGGAGAACTGAAGCACCTGACCCAAAAGGTGGAGCTGCTGGAGAAGTTTCAGGACAACTGCTTGGCAATTTTGGAGAGCAAGGGCCTCAACCCAGGTAAGAGACAGTACACGGTTGCCTTCAGAGGAGTCAATGCACGTGCCCCTTCCTGGGGGCGGATTGTGGACTGTGTGCCAAGAGTCCAGCATAGCATCAGCCGGCCCGTTCAGTGTTGGGTTGCTTAGCAAAGCAATAAAGATTGGGATGATCCTTTCTTTCTTTCTTTCTCTCTTTCTCTCTCTCTCTCTCTCTCTCTTTCTTTCTCTCTTCCTTCCCTCCTTTCTTTTTCAAGATTTTTTTATTTTTAAGTAATCTCTACACCCAACATGGGGCTCGAACTCACAACACCGAGATCAAGAGTCACATGCTGTACAGACTGAGCCAGCCAGGTGCCCTGGAGGAGCTTTTCTGTGTTCCCTTGTGGTGTTGACTTTAACCAACAGAATTTCAGATGGTTGTGGAGAGAGGATTATCTCCTATCTGAACACTTTTATGCCATTCATTTGGTACCAACAATTATGACCTTGCAAATAGACCAGAAGTATTTTATTTCTTCCAAGGCAGATAACAAACACGGTAACTTTCCCACGTGGGAAAAGACAGAGGTGATACTGTTTCAAGGGCTTCTAAACCCGGCTCATCAGCAGAATCACAATGGTTAAATGTGATTTCTGTTCTGACCCTGTCCCTAGAGAGCAGAGTCTGTAGCAAGGAGGGGAGTAGAAGAAGGAATTGCCCAAAGACTGTACAAGAGCTTCAGACTGAGTTGAGCCTGAGAATACCCAGTGAAGGGGCCCAGGCTTCTTTGAATTCAGGAACACTGACTCTGAACGCTGCTGATTAACCTGTGCATTTTAGGATATATTCTTTATAGTCACCATATATGTTTTTGTATGATTTTAACTTATAATGCACAAGCACTACTTTTACCAAAAATAATAATTTTTTAAGCCCAAAAAACTTTAAAAAATACCTTTTTGTGGGGCACCTGGGTGGTTCTGTCAGTTAAGCGTCGGACTCTTGATTTCGGCTCAGGTCATGATCTCACGGTCATGGGATCCAGCTCTCTGTCAGGCTTTGCACTCAGCAGGAAATTGGCTTGAGATTCTCTCTCTCCCTCTCCCCCTGCCCCTCACCTCATTCCACACTCACGCGTGGTCTCTCTCCTCTCTAAAATAAATAAACAAATCTTTAAAATTTTTTTTCAAATAAAAATAATTTTTTGTATTATAAACAAAACAAAAAAATCCAACCGATACATTTCCTTTGGACAAATTTTCTGCTAAGCTGAAGAGAAAGCAGAATGAACTTTTAACCATATCCAAAGCTAGAGAGGAGGGAGGTAAAATAAAGCTCTGAGGGTAGGTGTGGGTGGCCCTGCCAAGGTAAAAACTCAGGAGAAAGTCAGGGACCAGGCTCTTTGAGAAATTTCCCTCATGAATATTCCTGTACTTGTCCGGGGAGGGGTTTTTAGTTTTTGCTTTAGGTGCAGTTCCCTAAGCAAGGCTGACTTTGTCATTTGTGTCAGTTTTAGGCTGTGAGACCCTGGCATCACAGCGGGAATCCGCCGCAGATCACACGGACTCTATGGTGAGGGCATGGGTGTGAGTGGGCGAGGGCCAAGTGCACAGCAAACCCCAGGAAGCCGCCTTTGTTTTCCATGATAGTGGAAGAGAACAGTGGATGTGTACTCAAAATAGCATATTTTACTTGGAAGGCGACTTTGTGCTTACAGATGTGAGTGAGTTGGAGTTGAAAATATGCTACTTTAAGACACATGTTACAGTGGACCTGTAGAGAGAACTTTCTGGTTTCTCTGTTCTCCATTTTACCATATTTCTCCCCTTGTCTGTTTACCGAGAACTGTATGAAAGAAAGGTCCAGCCTGAACTAAATTTGGCTTCTCTTTGGTTCCCTCCCCAAAGTAGGAAGGTAGTCGTTTGGGATTAAGTCTTTGAGCTTCTATACCCTCTTCCCCGGAAAGATCAGTTGTCACCTTAGAATCATAGAATGCTAGCTGTGGAAGCCTTCCTCCGCCCCCCAGGCTAGTAGTCACCTCTTTGATGGCTACTCTGTTTTGTCCACATTGCCAGTGTAACGTAGAGCACATGGAAGTGGGGTGATCTGTCCATCCTGTGGACTGTGTTCCTCCAGGGGTGCCCGGGAGAAGGCCCGGCCCATGGGGGATGCTCAGTAAATGCCTGAATGAATGGAAGGGTTGTTAGCAATCATCTAATCAACTTTCATTTTATATGAAGACATTAGTTTATATAAAGAAAGTTTCCACATATCAGTAAAGATTTGTTACTACATTGTACTTTCCTCTTAGTTGCTGTTAGAAACTTTGCAGGATGAGCTGAAGTTTTTTAACGAAACGGCCAAAAAGCAGATGGAAGAGTTACAGGTGAGAGGCAGGCATCACCTTGCGGCAGGATTACCATTTCCTGCCACAGTGGGTGGGGCTCTGGAGGACTCTTTCTTATTTATCAATTTATTTCTTTTTAATAAACTGCTTTGTAATAATAGATTTATAGGAAAGTTGCAAAGATAAATACAGAGAATTTAGTGCCCTTAATATTAACATCATAGATTATCATAGTATATTTGTCAAAATTAAAAAACCAACACTGATGCATTACTATTCACTAAATTGCAAGACTGCTCACCATTTTTTTTTCAACTGATGTTCTATTCCAAAGACTCAGAAGTGTTCACATCTACAGGGCTTGAGGCAATGTGCAAAACACTAGGTTGCTCAATGTGACAGCCATGCTTTGGAAACTTGATATCTCAAGGAAACTGTAACAGGAAACCCAGATTCTTGAGTCTGGACTGCTTTGGATTGTTTGGAAGAATCAGGGGACAGTACACTGAATCCTAGAGGATTTCATGGCTCCAGTTGAGAGATAGGAGTCTGTAGTAGAGAGAGACCATTCCTAAAACCAGCACAGATACACAGATCTAAGATAGAAAATCACGTGTCAGTATTCCAATGGTCTTCCTGAAGGAAGGAGAAGCATAATGTCCTGAGATGGTATTGCCTTTCATGTGAATCAGTTTTGTAGGTGTTCGTTTGTTTGTTTGTTTCTTTTTGAATGTCTTTCCACGCAGGCCTTAAAAGTCAAGTTGAAGATGAAAGAAGAAGAGAGGGCCCGGTTCCTAGAACAGCAGACATTATGTAACAATCAAGTAAATGATTTTACGGCAGCCCTGGAGGAAATGGAGCAGCTATTAGAAATGTGATAAAAAGCAAGTGACCAGATGGCTCCCACAGGGGAAGCCACTCAGGACATCTGCTTCTTGGCCATGACCTTCTAGAACTCACCGTCCCCAGAATGGAGACATTTGCTGCAGTAGGATTAAGGACAGATAGAATGGCGCTTCCTCCTTCAGGCAAGCGAACACCACCCTCGGACTGGTGGGTTCCCCCGAACCTCACACACACATAATCGAGGCCAACAAGGGAGTGGGGGGTGCAGAAGCTTGGATCGACCTTCTAGGCAACAAAGCGGCAGGCTATTAGAATCAGGAGACTAAACCAGCCACAGCCAGAGGATCCCAAAGGTCACATTCAGATGTGTAGGAAGAAAACCTTAATTGTGCATTTGGAGTGCAGAGGCTCCACGGGAGACATCAGTGAGAAGGGATGCTGTCCCCTTCTAACTTGGAACACATTCCGTCTCATCCTGGTTGGGCTCTAGACCTCATTGTAAATTAATGAACGTGAAGTTATTGAAATGGCTTAATAAATGGGGTGAAGGTATAGATAGCAATAACACCTACCTGAAATAATACACCTTGGAGCTTTAAATCACTTCTTTTATTTTTTATTAAGTGCTACTTTTAAAATAAATATTTCTGTGACTATCCAGACTATAACACTGAGAAATGAAAAGAAACCTTTTAACTGAAGTATGTCCACCAAACACTCTTGACCTAATCCAGTGAACAAGTTCAAGACTCCAATGTGGAAGAATATTTTTCTTCCACTTCAGTGCTCTGTGGCTAGCCCTGCTGTCTTCCAGGAGCGGTAGCTGGTCTTCTGAGGGTGTCCCCTGTTTGTGGCAGTGGGTGCCCGACTCCATCCCCCAGCTTTGTGCCACTAGCTGCCTGTGCTCTCCCTATATTCCTGAGCCTGCTGATCTACTGCTCTTTGCACAGCCAATCCTAGGCCTGGCCCCATGGATCCCTCAGTAGCTGAGGTCCGTGGTAGGCTTCCCCCTGGGTTTACCAAAGGCACAGCTCTATTTCCTTTCTTAGTTGATCTAGGCAGGCTTTGGCTTTGGCTTTGACTCTCTTCCATGTTTTTCTGCATCTCCCAATTTCTTCACCAACCTCCCCCCTCCACTCTTGCTACCACCCAGTCAGGCCAAGGAACACCCCCACCCTAACTTTTCAGGGCTGTTTCTTTGCCTTCCACGCAGACATTCACACAGTTGGTTATGTCCCAAAAATTAGGAGGGGGGGAAACCCAGTTACATAACTCTCACCCATGAGAAGAGCTGAATATTTTCCTCTACCCATTTTCAGCATGTTTATACTTTAAAAGATTGTTTACCCAAATGAATTTGTAATTGGCATTTCTGCCCTCCCGCAAAAAAAGTTCTACTTCCTTCTTGGCAGGAGAGGGGGAGAACCCAGCTGTGGGATCCTCACCTCCTTGTCTGGCCTCCCTAGTTAACACCTAGGAATGTAACTCTCAGTGCCTGTGACTCCTCTCGCCCAGTGCCGAAACCCTGGTGGCTGGCGGCCTGGGCTCCCAAGGGGCCTTCACCTCACAGTTCTTTGTAGCACCAGCTGGCACTGGTGCACCTTTGCCTTTTCTCTTGATTCCTCCGACCTCTGTTGCTCCATCTGCCTTTGGTACATGTGGAGGTGTTGTGGGTGCTTCATCTGTTCTGCAGGCTGGATGAACCCATGTTAGAGAAACTCAGCAAATAGTGACCTGTACCCTCCACTTTGCCAGATGCTCTAGGAAACTTTAATGTAGCATGGCATTCTTAACCTCAAAGGTGCTTGCAATCTATTTGGTAAAACTTACATGTGCAGGTGACATATAAGTGAAATAACAAACACCAACACTTTACTAACTATGGGCTGTGTGGCATAGTTGTGTGCTCTAGTAGTTCACTATGGGCTAGTTTGGTTGCAGAGGGCTTGATGAAAGACATAGACTGGAGACTGAAGGAAGAGTAACAGTTGGAGAGGCTAGCTGGAAAGTGGAGGACCTTGCAGGTCGGTGAGCACGTGGAGGTTTGGGGAGAGGAGCAAGCTCGGTAGCCCCATTTCCCTTCCCCACACCTCACCCTCTGCATCTCTTGTGCCGGGCTCTTCCCGAGTTACAGCCTGTGTGGTAAACTGATCACCTAGTAAATAAAAGGTTTCTCTAAGTCTGTGAACTGCTCTAGCAAATGATAAACCCAAGGAAGGGGGGTGCCATTGGAACCTCCAGGGAGAAAATAAAATCATGAAATGCTGAAGGAAAGAATAGAGCTGAAGGGATATCTGGATGAGTCTTGGGGAAGTGAGTTGGGGAACTGGGCTTGTTCAGAGGTTCAAGGTGAGGGGATTATGTCTGACACTTAATTGAGCACTTGTACTCTGCCAGAATCACATAACTCCTTGCTGCACTTCTCAGGTAGTCCTCATTACCATCGCAAGGTAAACACTATTACCTCTTTTTACAGCTGGGGAAATAACGCTCAGAGATGTTAGGTTGATTTACCCAAGGTCAACAAGCAAATATTGGAGAAAAATTTGAGCCAGGGAAGAGTGGGGTGGGAGGTACTTGGTGTTAGTAGAAGTCTTGATCCTTGAATGCCAGGCTAAGAAGTGTGGATTTTTATCATCTAGGCCAGAGGTTTCCAAACTCTCAGTTCATGATGCCCCTAGTTAATGTCCTAGTAATATTTATGACACCCAAAGAAATATCAGTGGTTCTATTTTAAGTGATCAGATCCAACAACTTAGCAGGTATTTGAAAAAGTATTTTTTATTTCGTTTTTAAATAACTACAATTATTCACTAATCCACACAAAATGAACAAACTTTTTAGAATCGCTAAAAGTAAGAAGGAGGGGCGCCTGGGTGGCTCAGCAGGTTAAGCAGCCAGCTCAGGTCATGATCTCAGGGTCGTGGGATCAAGTTTTGCCTTGGGCTGCGTGCTCAGCGTAATCTGCTTGTCCCTCTCCTTCCCCATCTGTGCCTCCACCACCCCCCACCATCTCCGCTAAAAAAAAAGTAAGGAGTTTTATTAGGGCCCAAATTAGGACAGCTGTCTGGGGAAACATGCTCTTCACAAAGAAGAAAGTGCTCCGGAGAATGAACAGGTTTGTTTGTTTTTTAAAGATTTTATTTATTTATTTATTAGAGAGCAAGAGAGAGAGAAACAGCATGAGAGGGGAGAGGGTAAGAGGGAGAAGCAGGCTCCCCACTGAGCCGGGAGCCCAATGCGGGACTCGATCCTAGACTCCGGGATCATGACCTGAGCCGAAGGCAGTTGCTTAACCAGCTGAGCCAGCCAGGTGCCTTAAAGATTTTTTATTTATTCATTAGAGAGAGCGCGAGAGCACGGGCCGGGGAAGGAGGGACAGTCAGAGCAAGACGGAGAAACAGACTCCCCATTGAGCCAGGGAGCCAATGTGGGGTTCCATACCAGGACCCCAGGATCACGACCTGATCTGAAGGCAGTCACTTAACTGGCTGAGCCACCCAGGTGCCCCAAGAATGAACAGTTTTTATGTTGTTACCCTTTTTTATGTCTTGTAAAAGCTCAAAAGATTACTTTTTTTTAAGATTTATTTGAGGAAGGTTGGGGGGCAGAGGGAAGGTGAGACTCTCCAGGAGACACCCCTCCCCTCGGAGCCTGAGGCAGGGCACAATCCCACGACCCTGAGATCATGACCTGAGTGAAAATCAAGTGTCAGATGCTTAACCAACTGAGCCACCCAGGCGCCCCTCTTTTGTTGTTGTTGTTGTTGAAGATTTTATTTTTAAGTAATCTCTACACCCAACGTGGGGCTCGAACTCACAATGCCCATATCAAGGTCACACGCTCCACTGACTGAGCCAGCCAGGCGCTCCCACAGTCAAATTTCTGAGTTTTCACTGTCTGTCCTCTTCTGCTTTCAATCTGGCTTAAAGACAAAAACCGTCATATGAGATACCTGAAGTACCTGAGTGCCTGAGGTACTCTCCTTCACAGACAGAATATAGAATACAGGTTACCAGGGGCTGGGAGGGGGAAGAGCAGGGGAATTATGGTTTGATGGGTACACTGGCATGATGAAAAAATTCTGAAAATGGATAGTGGTGATGATAATGGCACAGCACTGTGCATATACTTAATGCCACCGAATTGTAGGCTTAAACATGGTTAAAATGGCAAATTGTTATGTATATTTTACTTTTTGAAGAAAATGTATTTGAGGCTTCACGAAGTATAGTAACCTTAAATGTACATGTCAATAAATTACTGCCCCCCCATTCTGACAGAAAATCACCATCTATGGGTATTGTCTTTTCTTGAACTTTATATAAATGGATTTGCCCAAAATATCCTCTTGTCTTTTTTCTATCTATAGGATCTGAAGGCTGACTTCTTTTTCATTCTTGGTATCAGCAATTTGCAGTTTCTCTCTTTTTAATCAGTCTTGTTAGTGGTTTATCAATTTTATGTTGATTTTTCTCTGTTGTACATCTCTAGCTCATAATTTCTATTCATATTCATTTCCCTCTATATTTGGGGTCTTAATTTACTGTTCTTTTTCTGCTTTCTTAAAATAGGAATAACTTAATTTCAGTTTTTCTCTTTTCCAGTATATGCCTTAAAACTGTAAGTTTCCCTCTATTAAGGGGCTTAGCAAAAGTGACTCCATTTAGGGGGCGCCTGGGTGGCTCAGTCATTAAGCATCTGCCTTCAGTTCAGGTCATAATCCCAGGGTCCTGGGATCGAGCCCCGCATCGAGCCCCGCATCGAGCCCCGCATCGAGCCCCGCATCGAGCCCCGCATCGAGCCCCGCATCAGGCTCCCTGCTCCGCGGGAAGCCTGCTTCTCCCTCTCCCACTCCCCCTGCTTGCGTTCCCTCTCTTGCTGTGTCTCTGTCAAATAAAGAAATAATATCTTTAAAAAAAAAAAGTGACTCCATTCAGGATCTATTGTTTCGTTTTAACATCTCTAAGGGCTAGATAGCTGCATCCCATTGGTTTTGCTTTGTCATATTTGCATTATGTTTCCATTCAAAATATTTTCAAATGATTTCTTATTTCGCCTATGGCTAATCTGGCTTTTTTTTCTCATTACTCTACCAAAATAGTTTTACTAAGGTTACCAATGACTTGCCTGTGGGCAAATCTGTTTTCAGTCTTTGTTTTGACTCAAAGTAGCTGAGGACACTATTAACTACCTCCTTGGAGTATGGGATCTTGGCTCTCACTGTGTTGGTGGCCTGAAGTCTTGGGGAGAGACATTCTACCCCTTTGGCTGAGCTGTGGCCCTTGAAAACAGGATGAGGTAGGGGCCAAGACCCTGCTTGGGGTCTAGAAGGAGAACCTCTATTTGGGGTTTGGAGGGGAAGCCTGTTCTCCACTTAGGGGAGACCCAGCATATGTGGGGTGACAACATTTCAGTCTGGACAAGCTCACAAAGCCTGGCTTTTGTCTTAGCTGTGTTTCAGACCTTGGACTAGTGGGGTGCTGTAAGAAGAAACAGAAATCATTGTCACCAAGTATGCTCTCTCTTTTATTCCTCATTAAACAAAATTCAACAGAGTAAACCTGAAGATCTAATTGGCTTTATTAAATCAATTCATGAATCAGGCAGCATCCCACGTAGCAAGTAGAGGGGAGCTCCAAAGAGTTGTTGGAAATACAAGGTTTTTGTAGGAAGGAAGGTGGGGCAAGGAAGTCACTAACAAAAGAAAAGTTTGTTCCAGGCAAGGTCATCTTTCTTTAGGGGGAAAGGCATGGATTACTTA